GCTGCCAGGAGCCCGAGGAGCGGCTGCCCGAGCCCCGCTGCCCCGGGCGGCGCGGAGCCCCGCGGGCCGTGCCCGTGGCATCCCCGGGGCTGCCGCGGCCGTGCCGCGGGCTCTGCGCGAAGGCCGGTTTGCTTCCCGGGATTTCCCAGCTGCTGCCGTCCCCGGCACGGTCCTCGCTGCCACCTTGGACCTCGGGCGGCACCTGTGGGAAGTGCCGTGCCTGGAACGGGGCCTTTGCTGCTGTGCATGCAGGCCGGGAAGGACAGAGAGCTGTGCTGGGCTCGTCTCCAGCTGTGGTGGGAGTTCCTGCAGGCTGTGCGCTCCTGGGTTATCGCACAACCCGCTGGCGCCGAATCAAAAGCACGTTTGGTAAAGAAAGCACGTCAGTTTTGACATCAACACGTGAACCATTCCATACACAGCGTCAAGTGTATTCGTGCCAGAGGGCAGAAGTGTTTGCTGGTGAGCTCCTCCACCATGTGTCTCGTCTTTCTTGGAACCCAAAAGGAACTTCTTAGGATAAGTTGGAGACATGTGAAAAGCTTTCTCTTTATGCAGAGTCAGTGCTACCCTGGCCAGCACCTTTCTGAACATGGGCTGTTATTTTCACTACCTTTGGCCTTCTGTAATGGTCCACAACAGTTTCTGAGCCCTGTGATCCTTGACTGTACTATCTAGTTTTTGAGACTTCTGCCTTTGGAGCTCCCAGACTGCTTCAACATGGAATTGAATGGGATGCTGTTGGAGCCATCAGGTTTTTCATTGCACTGGGTCACAAACTTCTTGTTGCTATGTGTACCAAAAGAGTCAAAAAGCCCCTTTCTATGACCAGGATGAGACGTCAAACTCACTGTGAAATTCAGCAAAAATGAAGGTCTTTTGTGGCCACATTAAAAAAAAAAAAAAAAAAAAAAAAAAAAAAAAAAAAAAGGAATGGCAGAGGTCTTAAGTGCTTCTGTTGGAAAATTTAAGTCAGAATGATGTTGTAGGATTGATTATTTCATATCTGTTAAAAAGAAATTGATTTTTATCTCCTGACATGCAAGATACCTGTTGCAGTCTGCTTTCAGTTGCCCATAAGAGCTCTGCCTTTTGTATTTTCTGGGGGAAGTTCTCACTGAATTGTTCATTCCAATGTTTGACTGCTGGAGAGGTTGATGCACTAGGATTTTAATTTTTGTAACTAATTTGCTGAGTCTTGTTTGAGGCTTGGTGGGTTTTAAAGTAAATATGTAGAAATTGTACCTAATTCTAAGCTGGTGTTGGTTCCTGTTTCAGGCATTTCTTTCTCAGAGGTGTTCCCATGCTCTGCCAAAATCAGTTTTCTCTGGTTTTCAGTTCAGTGCTAGATGTGACTTCTGTGCATTCAGTGAACCTCAGTGGATAGACAGGAGTCTGTCTTTTCACTCCCTGTAAATGACAAATGTCTGCACTGTCTCATGGCACGGGCATTTCACAACTTAAAAAACTGATGCAAGGAGAACCACCTCCTTCAGATTGTTTTGATCCTGCCTTCTCTGAGCTCCATTTGATGTGCTCTTATATGGTGAAGGACAGTGAAAATTTTGGTTTTCTCCATCCTAAGCCACTCTTGACTTTATTACTTGTGATGTCTCATCCAAACTGAGGATGAAAAAAACCCTGAAACATTTCCTTGCTTAGGTCTTCCTTTTCAGGAGATTTTGGTGCTTTTGATCACCTCTGAGAAGAGGAGAAGTACCAGATGTGCACGTAGAGCTCCAGATGATGGTGCTCCAGGGACTTCTGTGGCTGCACAGTGCTGTTCTTCTGAGATCCCTGTTCCTTCTTCCCAAACTGTTAATTACAGCTGCCTGTCCTCAGCAGTGGCCTTTTTCTGACGTGGAGGGTTTAGGCTGTTTCCTCAGCTGGCCTGGGCTGGGATCCCTCTCCTGCCAGCCCTGGAGTGTGTCTGCAGTGTGTGTGTGTGTGTGAAGGCTGCAGCACCCACGTGTACCCCCTTTCTAAAGCTCTCTCAGCTCAGTTCTGCTCGTGCTCCACTGCTCTGTGGTTTGCCCCATGTAAGGATTGGCTTATTTTTTAAGGGGCAACTGGATGGAAAACAGGGAAGAGTAACACTTAAACTGAGTGATTGTTAGAGAAATCAGCTTATCTGAGTAGCAGGAGGCTCCTGTTGCACATTTCTCCTGGAGCATTTTCAATGAATTCAGCCTTTTCTGAACTGTTGTGTGAGTTAGACACGTCTGTGTGATCTGTGCAAGCAGGCACACACTCACCTGGTCTCTGCTCCACCTCACTTTGTATCCCTTCAAACAAAGATGTTCTTTCTGCTGTAAGAATTTTTAACTCTTCCATACCATAAACTGCTAAACAGATTTGTGGGGACTTCAGTAGTTATGCCAGCTGTCCATCCAGTTGCAAGGGTTTTGTTTTTTTGGTTTTTTTTTTGTTTGAGTGATTTACATAAAGCAAGCCTGGGTAGAAGCCATCATCCTTGCCAGTATTCCAGGGTCCCACCCTTTTATGCAGACTTGGAAATATTTTCAAGATCCTTTTGATCTTGTCACTGCCTTGTTTGAGTGTTCTGCTAAATGCTGGATAAAAAGTTTATGCCAATGAGCTTTGTTCATCTTTATAAAGAATGACAGTGACAGTATCACAGCAAATGCTGCATCACACAGAATAAGGAAAAACATACTGAATTAATTAAGTAAATATTTCATAAGCTGTTTATAGCATCTGTAAGCATTTGTGCATTTTGCAAGATCAATATTCTCAAGCATTTCTGTTTTTTAGTTTAGTGTCTGTACTATAGAAATACAAAGGAATTCAGTCGGGGTTCAGTTCCATGGCACAAGCTGGGCAGCGTGGGCACCCCCAGACTAATGAGATGCTGACTGCAAACAAAGCACTTGGGCTGGGAGTGGTTCCACTTCTGTGCTGGTACTGCCCAGTGCTGTGTCAGGGTTTGCTTGCATGTGTTGTAACTTAATGTGAGTATCTTGGGATGGGGAAATGAGTAACATTGTTTCTGAAACAGGCTGTGATTCTTGCTGCTTATAGGTGTCTTTCCCAAAGGTGATCTGGTGCTGGTACCACTTCTCTTTTTAAATCTGGTCTTTGTTTTTTCATTGTAAGCTTCTAATGAAAATGGAATTTGTCCGGGGTTCAGTTCCATGGCACAAGCTGGGCAGCGTGGGCACCCCCAGACTAATGAGATGCTGACTGCAAACAAAGCACTTGGGCTGGGAGTGGTTCCACTTCTGTGCTGGTACTGCCCAGTGCTGTGTCAGGGTTTGCTTGCATGTGTTGTAACTTAATGTGAGTATCTTGGGATGGGGAAATGAGTAACATTGTTTCTGAAACAGGCTGTGATTCTTGCTGCTTATAGGTGTCTTTCCCAAAGGTGATCTGGTGCTGGTACCACTTCTCTTTTTAAATCTGGTCTTTGTTTTTTCATTGTAAGCTTCTAATGAAAATGGAGTTTGTCATGTTTTTCTCTCAAAAAACAAAGTTCAAAAAAGGTCAAGTGGGTGTAGTAGATGAGAATTCAGAAAGGCACAGAACGAAAGGTTTGTTTGGTAGGTTTCTGTGGTGTCGGAGATTGAGGAGACTTGTGGCATCTCTCCTTGAAGCTGGTGCTAAAGCGAGTGCTGAAGGCAGTTTGGCCAGCTGTGGGCAGCAGCTGTGCTGGGGCAGACTGGCAGGTAGGGCTCAAAGGAATTGGAAGAACAAAAGGAGTGTGACTTGACCAATAGTTTGTGTGTAGGGAATATAATAATTCTGTGCAAACCCTGCATTCCTGGAGTTTAAGTGGCATTGGCAGAAGGAGATATTTTTAACTGTCCTAGGTGAAGCTTTTAACTACCCACAGTGGACACAGAGGAGCACCTTTTCCTTTCAGCAAGCAGATTGCTGTGTATTTAAACACTGGCATTCTCTCTCCTTGTGGGCTTCTCCCCAGGCAAAACAAGCTCACTGAATCCAGGCTTTCCCCACAGGACATATTTTCTAAATCTTCTCTAGGCTGACTTATCTATTTGCCATAAAATTGTTAAGGTCCAAGTAGTTGTTTTCAGTTTGTGTATTTAATTTGGAAGAAAGATTTATGTGTCCCAAAGCATGTCTATTATTTCCAGCTATTTCAATTGGTCTAATAAAAGCTATTACCTCATCTCACAAACCTTTATCTCATTTAGGAGCTTACATCATCACAAATAGAGCAGCACTGCTTTTACTGCTGGTGTGACAGACTCCATGTCGTGTCCTCTTGGTGCTTCCTGTCACTCCCAGTTTGTGCCTGTGTCTGGTCTATCCTGCATTCTTGTGTGTGTTTCTGTCCCCGTGTGCTGAGTTTTGAAGCTGAGGAGATGACTCTGTCAAGCTGCTTTCTCACCCTTCTTCTGCAACAGGTTTATTAGGTTTGTCCCTTTGTACTGCATCTCTATAGATTGCACCTTTTGGGCGTTTTGGTTTTTGTCATTAGGATGTTTGAGAATGTTGAAAGCCATACAAAGGACAGAAGGTGGCATTCAGGGCAGGTGTGTTTTGATACCACAATGTGCCTTTTGCTGATAATGACTTGTAACTTTTCACATTTTAGGAGATGTGGATGGAACACCGAGCTGAGGAGCCGACCATTTTACTGAAGGCCTGTGCGTAGACCCTGATGCTCGAATGAATGAATGAAGAATGAAAATGCTCCCTGGAGTGGGTGTGTTTGGAACTGGTAGTGCTGCCCGGGTCCTGGTGCCCTTGCTGAGGGCAGAAGGCTTCTCCATTGAGGCTCTTTGGGGCAAGACTGAAGAGGAAGCCAAGCAGCTGGCAGAGGAGATGAACATCTCCTTCTACACCAGTCGGACTGACGATGTCTTGCTGCATCAGGACGTGGATTTGGTTTGCATCAACATCCCTCCACCCCTGACTCGGCAAATTGCTGTGAAGGCTCTAGGTACCTTTTTGTCCTTGGAGCTGGACCAAAAATCTGTAGCTTGTTGGCAGATTGAGATTTAGCCCAGCACAGTTCTGGTTGCACCAATGGCAAATGTGGTGCTAAAAATTTTGTGTGGCGTTTGTGAGAAGGGTTACCTGGTTTGTTTTTTTTTAAATACTGTTAATAATTGCTTATAGATCTGCTTGAACCAGTTGGGCTAAAATATTTTGCTTGGGTCAGACTGAAGTTATGGTAGGAAATTTGTAATAAAAGGCTGTATCAGAGACAATAATGAGAGGGTAAATGGCTTTATGCCCATTTTAAAAAACCAGAGAAACAACAACAAAAAAAAAAAAGCCAAAACAAATTGTTTAATTAATTTTAAATTTTCCCATGTTCTGTTCTAGGAAACTGAGATTTGCTTGGAAGGGGCAGGTTGTTCAGCTCTGCTTTATGCTTTCTCCACAAGTAAAATCAAATTTGGAAGTTGAAAGACTTTGAAAAAATATTTGTATACACTCAGTAGAATCTTGTGAATTAGGAGCTAAGAGATGCTGTTTTAGCTGTGACCCTGGCCACTACCTGGACCACTCTTGGCACATCCATGTCCATAGCAGGCTGATGTGGTCCCAGCTGGAGGAATCCTTCTACCTGACTCAGGAGGGCAGATGGTGGGGACAGCAGGAGGAATCCAGCTGGATGAGAAAGAAGGGATGACACCCAGACTGGTTGGGCAGGGAGATGGGAGCCAACTGCCCAGGCATCATGACATTTCTTAATTCCCCAGTGTGTGACTTTGTAGTGTTAATGTCCTCTCCTGGAGAGCAGCGTGGGTGTCAGTTTGCGTGTAATTCTGTAAATAACAAGGGTGATATTTTTACTTTGTTTACAGGAGATACACGAGTTAATTTTAGGACAGGTAATCTCAGACCATGTGAGCCCGGGTTGTTTGTTGTACCTCTTTTCTCTACAGTAATTTCTTTTGGAAGTAAACAAGTCCCTGCACAAACATTTGCAATGCCACTTAGATATGCAGAGTAAGATTTCAGGCTTTTTTTTCCTTTTCTTTTTTATACTGTTGGATTAGTTTGTTTACCTTGTTGGAGTACTGTCCTTTGAATTTTAACGTATTCTGATTTTTAAATATTTGAACTGTAGGTTAGAATTTATCTCTTCAAATATGCTAAAAGCTCTTTAAAGCATTTGTTAGGTAATATGCATTTCACTAGGTCTTGTGGCTCTTGATGATCAAGTCGGCTAAAAAGGAGAGGATTCACCATTCTCTGATGGATTATTAAGTAAAAGGGATTGGGATTCCTTCTCTGAAGGCTGGGAACTCATAAGAGGACATTATCCAGGGGAGGAAAGGGAGGTAAAGCTGGTGCAGAAATACAGAGGTTGTATGTGTGCTTGAATGCAAGTATAGGAAGTGGAAGGCTGAAAAAGCCAGGGAGATGGATGGATGTAGCAGGAAAGGGTAACAATCACTTCCTCTGTCCTGAGATGTCCTGGTCTGTAAACTGAGGCAGACATCTCAGGCCAGTGTGGTGCTGACCTTGCCTTTCAGCTCTCCAGGTTCATTGCAGTGGTATTTGCAGGTCTGCTGCCCAGTATATCATGACTTATTTAAAGCCAGTGTTGGGTGGTTTCCTGTGCCTGAATGTTCTGAAGGAACACAGAACCAGGGGAGGGCCAAAGATGGCAGCAACATTTTGTTTGGAAGTTGAGATTGATACAGTGATGAATATAATCAGAGAATTATTTGCTGTGAATTGTTTATAACAGATTGGTGTTTACTTGCCAAGAGACTGGGCTTTAGGAAATGTCAGAAGTGGTGCAGTAATAATGGTCTTGTGTGTTGTGTTTTGTTGGTCTGTTTGTTTGTTTTAAAGTGGAGTTTTATCACTTATTTTTGTACATTTTTCTACTTTTTTAAAAACCTGTGCTTCCATTTGGTAAAGAGGAGAAAAAACCCAGTTTTTCTAGGTGGTGCAGTTTCCTTGTGTAAGTTTCTTGCTGACAGGCATCCATGAACAAGCCTGGGGACAAAGCAGTGACACTGTTTGAGTTCATGAACCAGACAGAAGAGATCAAAGCCCAGGGGATAGTTCATATTAAAATCAGTGTAATCTTATGGTTTATCTCCACAACAGGCAAAGCAAGAAGCTCTCTTTAAATTTGTGCTTCTTTTGATCTCAGAGGAACTAAATAAATTTCACCAAATGTCTGTGTTGTGGTTCATGTTCCACAGTTAAATGCACCCATCACGTCTCCTGGCTGGTGAGGGCCTCAACTGAAAATTTTGCAGCTGTGGTTTAGGAAAACAATATGGGGCAAAGTTCAGGTTATTCATTACCAAAACAATAGTAACAATCCCAGGGATGTAAGCTGCACTGCCTTGAAAAACAAAAGGCATGGCCATTACCTTGGTAAGGGACCTTGTAGCCATCTCTGACTTGGCTCGGTCCTTGCTTCATGGCCATCTCTGTGAGCCTGGGGACAGCTGGAGGGATGTTCCACTGAAGGCAACAGCAGGATTATCCCAGAGCTGTTATGTGTTCCCAGGTGTCATCCTGGCACTCTGGCAGTGGCTGTGGGCTGTGCCCAGCTGTCAGTGTGCCATCCCAAAAAAAGGCATCAGCCACTTTTAGCTCCTCAGGTGGCTCAGCCTGGGCTGCCACAACAGGCACAGCACTGAGCGAGGGCGAGGCTGCTCAGCAGAGCAGGGAGAGCCCGCTGTGACAGGGCTGTCCCCAGGCTGGGCAGCAGGGGAGCACCAGCACAGCACTGGCTGCAGAGCTGCTCCCATGGAGCCAGAGTCACTTTGGTTTTCTGCAAGCTTTGAGGGTACAGATTTGCTCAGGATGCTGTGAGCATCCCTTTGCTTTCTCTGGTGCTGCTTTACTGTAACCTGCCTTGGAGATGAGCACCGTTTAAACAAGGCAGATAAACTGGACTGAAGCAGCTCTAGATACTTGTCAGGTGCTTCAGCTAGCCCTGAAAAGTACTGAACTGTGTTGTGCCTTGCCTTGGCAGCAGGACTGGGGACAGGGGACTCAGAAATGGTCCCTAAAATGGGGGGTTACCAATGGCCAGCCAGGGCGTCCACTGGGAGTTTGACCTGACCCTTTGTTCGTTAAAGCTGCTGTAGACTCGTATCAATACAGGGGATTTCTCCCTTGTAGTCTTCCCTGTTTCTGACTGGATTTCACTTGTGTCTGTTAGAAGCAGAAGTTCGGAGTCTCCTTAGCTATCCCCCGGCTGAGCTGTGTCACGGGAGCGTGCTGGCCCCTGGCCTGCTCGGAGGGTTCCGGGAGGGCTGGCTGGGTGCAGCCGGGAGAGGGAGCACGGAGAGCGGGAGCCGCCGTGGGGATGTGCCTTCTCCTCGCGTCCAGAGACCGACTGGAGTGCCTGTACCTGCTCACTGGGAGTCAATAAACAGCACAGTCTGCTCCTGCCTGAGGAGGAGCTTTCTGAGAGGTGCCCAGCGCCGTGTGCAGCCATTCCTGAAATTCTTGGGCAGAAACTGTGGTGTGCCATGACTGACCTTCAGGTCTGGCAGCCCCAGTTAGTGTCTATAATAACCGTGTTAGGAATAACTTGGTTATTACACTGAAAAATGTTTAGATAAGTATTTGATCAGAACAGAGGTAAAACAGGAAAAAACAGTAAAAGTAAAGCACTGCCATGAGAAGGGGGATACCAGAAAAGCTCCAAATGTAAGAACTGGTTAAAACTTGTACTGTCATGCTCTTTTGTATTACTTAATTTCTGCTTTACAGTTAGGGAAAAAGAGGATTATTGACTGCCCCATTGATTTAGGCTGAGCACAATGTAAAGTGCATCAGGAGCAATAACTGCAGTGGGTCAGCTTGGGGGTGCAGCTCTTGTCTGTGTAACTCAGTCACCTTTTGTCTGATTGTACAACAGGTTTGTGCAGACCAAAATGATTTGCTTTCTAAGTAGAAAGGGTTGTTTTAAAACAGTCCACTTACCAAAACATTATTTCTAATTCTTGTGTTCTGTACATAGAATCTGTATGTATATCTTTCATAAATATACATTTTTATATATAAGTAAATTGTATGTCCCATTTGTATTAATTTAAAAAAATAAAATTGTATGGTGATAGTGCAATGCAAAGTGAAAATCAAATCTCCCCCCCACACACACTTCTTCCCTGCAGGGTGCATGGCTTTTTTTTTTTTTTTCTCCTCAGGCTATACAGGTATTCAAATAATTTGTAAACTATAGCACTCATAGTGTGTCTTGTTTAGATGCCATGTGATGCCATTTGGACATTTATCTTTCATTATGTGAAAATCCTCTCTTTATTTGGAGCCTCCCTCTGTGAGAGTTTGTCAACGGTGCAACTGAAGCATCTTGGAAACAGCATTGAGTCTTGCTGGACTTGGCATTCCTACTTTAGTTCCCAGATCTTTACCTTAGAAATTGCAGCAGGAAAGCCCAACTCTTAAAACCACCACTTCTTGACAACCTTTGGGGCATGTGAGCGTGTTTTCCTCGAGTGTGCTAAATATTGTAATTTTTTTTCCATTTGTGCTGCAGGAATAGGGAAGAACGTCCTGTGTGAGAAAGCTGCTACCTCTGTGGATGCCTTCAGGATGGTCACAGCTGCCAGGTATTACCCCAAGCTGATGAGCATCGTTGGCAACGTGCTGCGTTTCCTGCCCGCCTTCGTGAAGATGAAGCAGCTGATCGAGGAGCGCTACGTGGGCAACGTCATCATCTGCGACGTGCGAGTCTACGGGGGCAGCCTGCTCAGCCACCAGTACAACTGGATCTGTGACGAGCTCATGGGAGGGGGTGGCCTGCACACCATGGGCACCTACATCATCGACCTCCTGACTCACCTCACCAGCAGGAGAGCTGAGAAGGTCCACGGCTTGCTCAAGACTTTTGTGAAGCAGAACACGGCCATCAGCGGGATCCGCCACGTCACCAGCGACGACTTCTGCGTTTTCCAGATGCTCATGAGCGACGGCGTCTGTTGCACTGTGACTCTCAACTTCAACATGCCTGGGTCATTCATCCACGAGGTCATGATTGTGGGCTCTGCCGGCCGCCTCATAGCTCGTGGGACAGACTTGTACGGGCAGAAGAACACCGCGCTCCGGGAGGAACTGCTGTTTACAGACTCTCTGCCTGTCAACAAGGGCCTGTTGGATAAGGGGTTCAAGGACATCCCGCTGCTCTACCTGAAAGGAATGGTGTACATGGTGCAAGCCCTGAGGCAGTCTTTCCAGGACCAGGAAGACCGTCGGACATGGGATCATAAACCTGTGTCCATGGCAGCCTCTTTTGAGGATGGCCTGTACATGCAGAGTGTGGTAGAGGCCATCAAGAAATCCAGTAGGTCAGGTGAGTGGGAGACTGTGGAGGTGATGACTGAGGAACCAGATGCCAACCAAAACCTCTGTGAGGCACTTCAAAGAAATAACTTATGAACATTCCTACCTTGGAAAATACTACTTCTGGCTGTAATGTAAAAAAAAAACCCAGTTTTTAAGATATGTAGATTCTTATTTAATAGCCTGAGTTTCTTGGTTTTTTTAAACATGTAAAATATGTTCTCATAGGAACAGTTCTGGTTTAAATTGTTTGAAGAGTTTTAAATGTTTCTGTTTTTTGCAAACATTTAATTTTTGTCTTGGAGACTGGTAGGAAAACTTGAATTGCCCTTTGCACTTGCAGTAGCTGAAGTGAATTGTGGGATCTCTGCCATTGCATGGCTTGGAAATGGGACACAACCCCTGTTGCACAGGTTGCTGATTTAACCATGAAAGCACACAGAGCAAGATCAGGGAGTATCTGTTGTTCAGATGCCTTTTTCCTCTCTCTTGGGAGACTGATTTATGTTTTAATCCTCAGTTTGTAAAATTTTAGAAAAAAGTTCAGTGATGTAACAAGTCTCTGAACTTGGACAAAGCAGAAGGAATGGATTAAAGTTAGTAACATAAGGATCAGCCTTTTGGCTTCCTGTGTGTGGTAAATGTCTTTCAAATTCATTCAAACTGATGTTTTATTTAAATGATACTATAATTCTCTGTTGTTGGTGTCTTGGCAGGAAAATATTCAGGAAGTCTGTGATGCATTGAGCTATTCTTCCATATCTGTAGACATTATTCCTTCTATTCAAGAGGCTGCCTGCATCCAGCAGCTGTTTTTCCATAAGCTCTGTGCTTATGTCAGTTGTGTTTACTGCCTGGCAGCACCAGTGCCGTGCCTGTGGGGCCACGTTCTCATTTCTGTGACTGTTACTAAATAAATGACAAATGCCTCCCTGGGTCACAGGATTGCCACAGTGTCGTGGCTAACAAAGTAGTACAGCATGAACCTTTCAGGGACCTGAAAGTGGAAGGAAGGAGGTATTTCCTACCTCTTGCAGCTCTCTTAATGTGCTGGCTGGGTAACTGTCACACTACACACATCCTGGTAGTTGAGAGAACAGGGACTGAACTGCCATGGGTAAATGTGCTCTTGATCTCAAACACTGGCTATTAATCCTCTGGTCCAGCCCATCTTCACGCCCTCCTGCAGCTGGTGCCCAGTGGAGAGATTTGTTGGCAGATGATGGGGTGGAAGTTCATTCCTTCTGAGAAATGTTTCTCTCTGAGGCAGGTATGTGGAAAGGATAGTCTAATTTTACTACATTTGTTTTGTGTACTTGAAAGCTTTTTTTTAAAATGTTATTTCCCACTAAATTGTAACCCTGTGTATTTATGTATATTAACATGCACGCTGCTGTTCCATAAGCTGGACCTTCCTGAAAAGTATCATGTTTTCTACAGAAATAAAAAGTTGTGTTTGTTGAGGGAATTCTCTATGCAACTGTGTGCTTGTGTTTGATTTGGTCAAGCTAAAACCGTCTTAATAAAAGTGAACAGGAGGCTCAGAGCTGGGACTCAGTATCTGGTGAGTCCTTCCCCATTTATTGTAGAAATTGCCAGAAGACACCAAGTAAAAAGCAAAATCCCTGCAGTATTGATGGGACCACTTTCTTTGCTTGGTGTGTAAATTAGGTATTTACCTTTGGATATTTACTTTCCAGACTCTGACAGAAACAAGTCTGCTGTGCTGTTTTAAAGGGTAGGAGCATGGCTGCTCTTGTGCTCTGCACATTCTCATCTCTACTGTGAGCTGTGTGGAGGAAGTGCATGGTTAGATTGGATATTAGGAAAAGATTCTTCACCCAGAAGGTGACTGGGCACTGGAATAGTCTCCCCAGGGAAGTGGTTGTGGCCCCAAGCTTGCCACAGTTCAGGAAGAGTTTGGACAGTGCTCTGGGAGGCACAGGTGGGATTCTTGGGGCTGTCCTGTGTGGGGCCAGGAGCTGTACTCTGATCCTGCCATAGGTGTGAGCATCTACTGCCTGTGGAGGCTGTGTGCTGTGTAAAATGGATGAGACAATGTGTCCTGAGCTCACCTGGCACTCACCACCTTCATTCAGACAGAAGAGCCCTGACTCTTCATGCCATTTTGGGGGCTGTTTCGAAGCTGTCCTTCTGGAACTGAGAACCTTCCTTTGTGCCTTTGTCACTAAGTTTGTATTGGGCAGAACAAATCAAAAGCGCAGCTCCTTCTCTATGGGAAGAAAGAAGCACAAAACATCTCCGGCTGGTCCCAGTGAAGGAAGGAGGGTGCCGAGACTGCTGGGTGAGAAAGAGACACGACCGCAGAACTGTGCGGAGAGGCGAAAGGGGCCTCTCGTGGCTGCCTGCAGCCTGAAGCTGCGCTGCACGGCCAGAGCGGCACGGTGACCGCAGGAGCGCCCGTTTGGGCGAAGCGGATTGCAGCCGTGAAGCCTGGATTGCCCCGTGCAGTCCCCGTGTGCTTAACGCGGATGTTGTGCATTAGGGACCGGGGCCGGCCGGGGCTCAGCGTCCCCCGTGCGCTGCGGCTGCCCGGGCACAGCCGGCGGGGCCCTCGGGCCGGGCCCGCCC